AAAGGAAGACAATAATGGTTTGTCTTTATCATCCCTTTTGCCGAACAATGGAGGCGAAGCATCAACGCCTGCAGCTAAGGCGATAGTACAGAGAGATGATTGAAAATATTATTTCGCTTTTGCTAAAGCAAACAAAAAAAAAATATTTAACCAGACGAACGCACACGTAATAACAAGAAATACACGTTTTTATACGATACACCGCAAATTCTTATACATATTCACGCAAATGCAAATAATCGCGTGGTTAGGTTTTACAATCGATTTGTCGATTATTGACCGCGTCATTTCCGTTTTTGTTTACGCGTGCGTGGGCGATGAGCCTGAAATTGTAGAAATTGGTTCATCAATATCTAAGGCGCCTCAGTTCGAAGGGAGGATGGCACTCGGCTTCGGCAATGGCGTCAAAGTGGATTTCATGGTGAGGTCGACGGAGGATGGACGGAGCTCGAGAGAGAGAGAGATGAGAATAGATGCTGCTGCGGCAATGGAGAGCCGAACTCCGTCGAGCGTCATTACCTGCCGTCACTTCATTGATTCACGGTGAAGTTTTAGCATAGTTGTTGAGCTCAAGTAGCCTGATCCACGTTACGTACTATGCTGCCGCTATTCAGCTAGCGAGCGAAAGTGAGCTGTATTTTATATTCGGTTTTATAACACACCTTCTAAATGACAAGAAAGAAATATTAGCAAAAAAAAGTGTATATGCAAAGTTTATTACGTAATATTTAAATAGAAGTATTTAGAGAGACAGAGTTTCTCTCTAATCAATTTTTTAAAATTTTTTTACATTCTTCTTGGTCATGTTAATACATTAAGCGCGAATTGTCTTAAATGCGGTAAGATACATTTTTATTGACGAAAGAGCGGAAACACATACGTAGCAACGCGAAAAAAGTTTTTTTCACCAATCTAGATTTTAATAATACGTATAATTTCGAATAACGCGAACGTTAAAGTGGGATTAAAATTAAATTGGACAGCCACAATTGTATTTCTAAATTGCGTTCGTTATTTGCTATTAGGTTTCTTACGTATCGTCGACATCTGCGATATTAAGCAAAATATTAAGTTTTTATAGCGCAATAAGAAGTGCTATTACATCCGGCAAAGAAATTAAAAATGAAACATAGCCTTGGCGGAGAAGCGGTATTAATTAAGTACAGAAGTTATTTTAACTCACCGATCCGTAAAACTATAGCTCTTTACGCTTCATAATACGTATTTGTTCATTTTGAACTGTAGCAAAATTGTTCATTTATTATTAACAAATCTGGTGTCCACAGAGTATTTAATTTAATGGAAGATTGAGGTTTTAAAGATTCATGTATAATCAAAACGCAATTCTCGTGTTTGATTATATTATTTTGTCTTTTGCGGATAACAACAAGTGCATTATATCCAAATTATTGTTCTATCATGTCAATAACTTTCAATTGGCGATACGCTTTGTATAATTGGATTATTATTATGTGGGAGGAGATAATAGAATTTCCTAGCTACGCACCGATGCGGTTATATCAAAATTCGAAACGATACTCTCGCCTGAATATGAACATTTTGATGTTATATTCAGCGACTGTAGAATACAACAGTGAGAAACGTCATTGATAAATGCATACCGTATCACTTGTACTATTCGCACTAGCATAAATAACTATTTGCAACTCTAGGTCAAAATTACGTGTTCTGTATTGACTAAATCATCTGATACACACTTACATTCAAACACGATCATGCTACAGTGTTTGTTTAATTCTTGCGCGCCAGAAAGAGTCAGGTCAATACTTTTTCTAGATTTAAATATTTAATAAAGTCGCATTTTAACGCATCCATGTTTTAACACGAGGTCTAAAACAAACACACAACACGCGTAAACCGCGCGCGGGTAACACCGTGGCATAAATAACATTCGCGAACAAATCGTCGAAAATCGTTCGCGCGCTATACGTTATCGTTCGCTGACCACTTTATCGCGCCAATATACGTATGTATTTTCACATGTCTCAACCGGCGCGGTGGCGGAAGTTTCTTCCGAAGAAACTTGTCCAATAAATAATTCCTTGTTAAGCCGCAACCGACTTGCCGCGGCGGTGAGCAAAACGCACGGGGGGAGAGGGGGGGAGGAAAGGAGAGGAAAAAGGACGAATCGTTTCTATGTGAGTAAAGAGACCGTAGACTGGTCGGTTGCCGCGGTAGTTGGACCGAAGCGGAAAGGGCGAGAGAACCTCCGGGCACGGAGCAACAACAACGAGGTCGACGATAATAAATAGAACGATGGATTCAGCTCGCGATTTGGCGAGAGGGTTTTCCGCACCCCCTCCGTCGCGGTACTTTTATATAAATAACAGAGACGAAGGCGTAGAGCACGGCTCGTAAAACTGAATTATGTCCCACGTACTTCGGTCGTACCCCTGTCACGCCATCCGCGCGCCGTCCGACACGCGGTTTTCCAGGGCGATTCACCGCCGGTCATTCGCCACGTGTGCACGCGATTGTACGTGGCTCGTGTGGCATAGCGCATTTGTGATCGCGAGAGAACCAGAGGGATAAAGGACACACACTTTCTCTCTCTCTCTCTCTCTTTCTCTCTCTCTCTCACGCTTCGAAATACGATCGTGATCGACCGGCGAAGAGCAACTTTATCCACGCGGGCAAATTTTCTCCAGAGGTGATTTTTAAATCTCTGTGCGCGCGATTGCGCGGGATCATCTATTCGATGCCGATCGGAATTTATCGATTTCACCTTTACCCGTTAAGCTTTGTCAGTGGACGATCGTATTTCGCGCAGCGCGGTATCGCGACGTGAATACGAATTCAAGAGATTTTACGATAAATTTCGGATAAAAGCTCTTTCTTTTCGAGTATGAGTTACGATAACACGCGATATATATATATGTATATAATATATATATATATATATATACATGCATATGTTTATTAAATTCATTACATCTAGTATACAAAAATCTAATATACTTTTTTAAAAAAATCAGATTATTTTAGAACTCGCAGATTTGTGTAAAATACGAATAATGTTAATAATTTTAAGTGAGAAATCTACAAATTTTTTAAATATATTTCTGATTTCCTCTTTTCTTTCTTTCTAGTTTTATATTTTATAATTTCTCAAATATGTTAATAATGTAGATCGGCGACATTTAATCGTCGTTATCGTAATTGTTATAATTATAATAATTTTTCACAAAGTTTTACTGTCTTATCTTCCTAGAACAGCTACAATACAACAGTAGATGTAAGTTTGCAGCACAAACAAGAGTGCAGTCGTAAATTTTACGAGCAGCTGTTCGGATCAAGGCTTAAAATTGCATTTTACTTTGTTAGCACTAGCAAAAAACCTTTTTTCGTTCAGTCGTTTCATCCTGAAGATCCGACGATAAGTTTAATGCATAACTAGCACCAATTCACGAAAATTGGAATTTTTAAAAGCTCGGTTTAATTTTTACAGCGTTAACACTAGTGTCACAATAACCAAGATAAAGTAGTATTTTCTTAGAACAAGTTGGAGTATCCCGGTACATGTATATGATAGAATAACATTCATATATAACTCTACTTAATAATTTATCTTCTTGATATATCTAATAAATATAGTTCACGTATATTCTTTTTCTCTCTCTATCTCTCTTTTTCTCGCTTTTTGATACACAGTTTTAATATTAACGCAATCTAAAATATATTCTAACTTATTGTCACCTCACTTATGTTTTCTCTTTATTTAATAACATGATATCGTACACATAAATCAGTTTTGTTTCTGTTTGTTTTTTTTAACGTTATATTGTAATAAAACCAAAGTTTTTATTGCGACAATAGTAAGTTGTAAAACTTTAAAATGTATTTCTAGTGAAAAGATTCGCATGAGACCCGCGAGAAAAGGAAAATGTCGCAACACAACTCATAATATAGTAAGGAGCTATTTCGTGCGTTTCTGCAAAAACATTTTGTATACATTTCTCATGGCGTAGCACATCGGAATGAAGAATAAATTTCAAAAAGGAAATCAGCGATGCGTACTGTCTTTGAAAGCTTCGTTCTGAGATCCCCGAAATAGGAGATCCATTATTCATCGGCAAGTTCGCGGGATTTTTCTCGGTGCAAGCCCTCGGACATTTTGGTAAGTGAATTTTACTATGCAGACGAGACTGCATCGAGGAGGGAAATAGCGTGCAGAATATTCACCTACAACGCACTGCACTTTTACGACAACTAGCGACGTCTACGCGAAGGATTCCCTTCTTCAGTCAACATACGAGCACAATTGCTTTTCCTGTTATTCAGTTCTCCTTTACGATCTATCTGGAGATACGATCTCGTTCTCTCTCTTTCCGAGAAGATAATCGTCGTGTGTTTTTTGTAAGCATAACATGTTATAGAATGATATTGACATTTAAACGCAATTTGCATATGACGATTAGTAATCGATATAATAACAGTATGATGTGTATATTGTGTAAATATATATATTCCACGACACAGTTAATATTAACTTTTAGCTAAAGTAACTACTTTATTACACTTTACTCCAAATCGTATTTATTACGTGTTTTTGTTTTATTGTATTTTACCAATCGATGTGTCAATCTATGTGAACTAAAACTAACACATATTCTTAGACTCGTGTGTATGTGCTATATATAGGTAGAGTCACTTCTAATTAAACGTGTAAGAGACGATATGTCGCGCAAAGTCAACGTTACATACGCGCATTACACATGCGTTTTGTTGTTATTTCAGAAAATCTCCAGGTCGTTTTACAATCTATTTTTTTATGTTTTACAATCAAGCTGCTCACATATCTGTTTCGTGTTTTCCTAGTTTTAATTTGCTCGACTAAAAACTTTTGTTTCCTTGATTTGTAAAATAAGAAGTACAGTGTGGTAAAATGTATGAAGTTTCTTCAACATTTCTTTTTTATTTTTTAAAATATGGTTTTTATATAATTATCTTTTCCTATAATTATATATGTAAACTTGTTTTAATAATTATAACTTGATTCTTGTTTCACATTGCAACTATGTTGAAGAATAAGAAGTTGTTTATCATAATGTACAAAAAATCTGATATTTATAAGATGCATTGTTAATTTATCTCAAGGATTTATAAAGAGCGTCGAGAAGAACGTTGTGTACTTGAAAGCATCATCAGCAAACGACACATGAGTTATTTCCGGTATTATATCGTTTTAACAAATGAGTGTTTTAATTCGAGCAACAATATGCGAAATTCTCAAGGAATTATCTCGATCCCTTTCTTTGCACACCGACGAGCAGCAAGCGGAATAGTTTCCGTATGCATGCTCATCAGTCTACCGAGGACAACGTGTTGAGGCATATAGGAAAGCGAGGAAACTTCGCTACAGCGAATTTCCATTTAGAGAGATTTTGCGATACCCGCAGAGCCGGTGTAAGTCTTCGCGGATTGGCGCGAGATAAGGACAACTTCTAGCGCTTTCTTCGGTTGTTGAAAATTGAAAATAAGTAGGTACAGACTGTGTGATAATCCGATTTTCTTTAGTCATTCGTGATGCTTTTTGCTCTCTTTTGCAAACGAAACAATTCTTTGCACAAAGTGACTATTTGATATCTACCATATAATAGTAAGAACTTGATAAGTCCATTTTTTTTCAATTTTCTGTTTTCGATGTTATTTGGTAATTCAAACTAAGTTATTTAATTATCCAAAGCGAAAGAGACATTTTTGATAAATTCTAAGATATACAAATTGTTATAAGCGTACAAAGAAATATACGCATGTTTCGATCTGAAAAATCGCTCTCAACTAAATTACAAAAATGTGACTTAAGTTCTTCTCTTAAATTATCTCTTCTCTGGTAAATCATATATTTATTGTGTTTTTTAGATAGTGCAGTTTTTTATACCTTGGTATTTTTCGTATCAATCAATATCTAACTTCCGAAATGTTCCTGAAATTCCGAAGAAATCGTTGGAATTTATTATGGAAGATTCAGATCGACGAGATTCATCGGTTTTAAGTTCTTTTTGTCGCAGAAACCAATTTCTTCGTTCAACTAAAGTTGTATACCACATATCTATAACAAAATGTATAATATCCTAAACATTTGTAATTTACATTCTATATAATATATGTTAAAATACATGTTATATATACAACATTTAAATTTAAGTATTTATATTAAATAACTATTANANGTTTTTGTACTTGTTAAAGTGTCCATTGACGGTTGATCACCACCATAATCCGATGGAAAAAAAGATCTTGGTATNTTTTCATACAATGATTCCACTCCAGATGTAAAAACAGACATCTAAAATATTATCATCAATTGCAAATATTCTAAATAAGTAACAATAATATATACAAATAAAATTCTATAATCTATACGAATTAAATTGTTTTATACGGTTTTTATACTTACTCTTTGAATAAGTGGTGCTTTCATTACTGTTCTTATCATTTTTAGCATTATTTCACTATAAGCAGGAGCATTGACCATATAAATGTGTTTAACTCTTATACAATATGCTCTCTAAATAATAAAAAATATATACTCAATATGTATATAAATAATGTACACATAATACTATAAATTAAGTTGTAAAAGTTTATGTATAATGTATGTATATATGTATGTAGTACCAACAAAATTACGTACCAAAACGACGTCCAACTGTTTTAATACAATAGGAGTAACTTTTTTTACATGACACATGCGTAGATTTTTGTAGTCGATAACCAGAATAATGGAGGTGTCTACTATATTTTCCTTCATAGGCATTTCATACATCATGAGAATGTATCTGTAAGTTAGAAACAAATAATGTTTCAAAGCATTTGTTACTAAAATATTTTTTGATAATTCCAAAAAACTTTATTTATATTTAGTAAATAATTATATGTATATTAAGTAAATTAGTTTGTAAGTAGTAAAACTTGCACATACTTTATTAGTATCCACATATCATATGTTGCGGCGTATTTGTTTATTATTCTCGCAAAACATAGTCTATACTGTTCTGATGTTAACTTTGGTAAATATACGAACTGTCTAAAATAAATCCCTTATCAGTGTATTCAAATACTTTGCAATTACTAAGCAGTTTTATNTGTCAATAAATTTTATTATATAATTAATGTCTAAAGATATTATTTTGTTATTAAAAAAGAAATATCAATTAAATGTACATCGTTCACGCAATGTAACTTCTAATTTGATCTTTGAGCACAATACTTACATGCATTTACGAAATTGAATTATGCTATCGCTTAACGGATCAAAATCGTCAAAAATTTCAGGAATCCAGTTACGAATGGAGCAATACAAATCCAACCGTTCCTTAGCTTTTTCAAAGTCAAACTTCGTTGCAGAAACGAAATACTTCAATCGTCGATCGGAAATATCTAACACAAAACAATGTGTGATCTTACACAGAAGTTTTTAACAATAATGTTATTCAATAAGGTTAATTTGGATATGACGAAGTAGTAATCATATTAATATATTACTTTGTTGCAAAAATTTGAACGTTAAAATACAAACTTTGAGGAAGATGAGGGTGCTGGTTTATCCATAATCGTAGTTTCTCCGATAATTCGTCCAACAGTTGCTCGTTACCTTTTAGCTGTTTCAATATTTCTTTACGAGACACATATTCTAACTTCAACATTTTACCATTTAGTAGCATTCGATTTTTGTATACTATTTTGGATGCACAAACTATATATATATATTACAATTGAAAGTAATATAAATATAATTTTTTATTTTATCTAATAGACACAAAACTGNGATGTGTGATTANATATTACTGTTTTTTTTCACGTACACGAAACTAAATTTATGGAACTGATTAGCTTTAAATCGAGTAGTATTGTATATTAGTTATTTGGTGTACAATGCTCGCAGTGCAAAGATCGACTGACTACTAACATTTTGGCTGGACGACGTTAAATATAAACAGTGATATTCTGTTTTGTATCCATTAATAATGCAGAATCGTCAAATCGGAATGTAGTAACCAGGAATATATTTAAATAAATCTTAAGAACTTGTATTTCTAGATACCATTTATATTTTAAGATATTCTAGGTGTCCTTGTCATTTTCTGCTGATGTAACAGTGGCTAATTGAGAGGGACTAAAATATATATATATATATATATATTTGCGTGTTTTGTTTTTTTTTTCGAATGATTCACAGCACACATTATTATTATAAATTCAAACATTATATATATGCAAATAAAAACCTTGCACGCAGACACACAATTCTATTTACACACGTATATATACAGGGTGTCCCAGAATAGCCGTACAATCTCTCGTAGGCAGATAGAAGGAATAAAACTGAGTCAAAAAGTCCTGAACCATTTTTTTCTATTATTTATAATAAAGGAGTAATTATTGAGTAAATCAGGCCAATCAGCGCCGATCTTTAGCCA